TAAGTTGGGATAACATACCCAAACCCAAAAAACAATTGAATGTACTAAAAAAGAAGTGTCCAGCAGACTGCGAGGGCCCTCTTTTTAGTCCTCATTGTGTTAATTACAGCGCGGATATCGAGTTTATCATTAAAAATCGATAACTCATCCCGATCTTTTTTTATCGGTAAAAAAAACCTTATCGAAAACCAGTTATAAAATTATATCTTCTACACCTTTATTGCTAGAAGCTCCAAATTTTTAATGTATGCTTATATGCAATTTATACAGTTTCGGTTTTTGTTAAAATTTACCCTCCGCCCCTATATTCACCCCCTCACCATCACTTTTGTAAAAGGCGTATTTCAAATACTAGAGGCTTGTGCTTTGGCAATGCATATCCATGTTATAATCATAATCTGAAAGTTTCATGAAGATCGTATGCCCACAACAAAATGTTATTAAACAATTAAATGCTCATAGTAAGCGCGCACTGCGCCCATGCGTGTTTATGCGTGGGTGCTTGTGTGTGTATGTGTTTGTGTATGTGTGTGTATGTGTGTGTGTATGCGTTTGTGTTTGTATGCGTGTGTGTGTGTATGTATGCCTTGTGTGCGTGCGTGCGTGTGTGTGTGTGTGCGTATTTCTTGTGTAAGCTGAAGGACGCGAAAAATTATTGAAATAGCTATTTCTCCAAGGGTTCAGGGGATCTCGTAGTCGAGCAGTCTCGACTAGAGATTTCTTACTTGTTAAGTTAAATTTATGAAATGAGGAATGAATTTCAATCGAATATATATATAATTTAATTTTGTTAAGAATATAAACATTAAATACATATATAAACAAGTAAGAAAGCTCTAGTCGAGACTGCTCGACTACGAGATCCCCTGAACCCTTGGAGCAATAGATATTTCAATACTTTTTCGCGACTTTCAGCTTACACAAGCAACACGCACACACACACACACACACGCACGTACGCACACACAGGTATACATACACACACACGCATACAGACACACATACACACACACACGCATACAGACACAAACGCATACACACACACACATACACATACAAGCAACCACGCATAAACACGCATGGGCTGCAGTGTGCGCTTACTATGAGAACTTAATTGTTTAATAACTTTTTTTATGGACGTACGATCTTCATGAAACTTTTAGATTATGATTATAACATGAATATGCATGTAATTGCCAAAGCACAAGTCTCTAGTATTTGAAATACGCTTTTTACAAAAGTGAGGGTGAGGGGGTGAATTTAGAGGTGGGGGTAAATTTTAACAAAAACCGAAATTGTATAAATTGCATATAAGCATACATTAAAAATTTGGAGACTCTAGCAATAAAGGTGTAGAAGATATAATTTTATAACTGGGTTTCGATAAGGTTTTTTATCGATAAAAAAAGATCGAGATGAGTTATCGATTTTTAATGATAAACTTGATATGCGCGCTGTAATTACGGACATTTTAAAAAAAATTTGAAGTCTCTAGCTCTTATATCTTCTGAAATCGACGCGTTCATACATACGGACAGACGGACAGACGGACAGACAGACGGACAGGGCCAAATCAACTCAGCTCGTCACCCTGATCAAGAATATATATACTTTGTGGGGTCTGCCACGCCTCCTTCTCCCTGTTACATACATTTCAACAAAACCATTATACCCTGATTTCCCATTGAAAATGGGTTCAGGGTATAAAAAAAAATTTTCCGATGTTTGTTTTTGATTAAAAAACATCGATGTCATCAAACTAGTGATGGCACGATTAATCATTTGATACACATTTATCGATTATTTTGTTTCAATTCACGATTTAATTGTATCGCAAAATGGGTTTTGAATAATCGAGACAATCGATGATTTGCTCAAAAAAACGCATCGCTATAAGCAACATTGGCGCGCAAAAGTTGGAAAGCGAAGCGTAATTATGGCACCAACAAATAGTTAAGTTATGAAGCGAATACGACAAGAAATGGCGGAGCTTTCAGATATAAATGAAAGTTTAGGAAGCACTAGTGACGGCTCATCTACTCGCGAAGTTGAGTTCGATTTATGGACCCACCGCAAGGCACTGGCCCACAAAACCAGTAGGAAAGACGGTAACCATTTTCAAATTCAAGACGAGCACAGTCTTTTTTTAAATGCTCCTGTTTTTGAATTGAAGCGTAATGTCGTCAACGCCTGGGAGGAGATGCGTCCTGTATACCCTAAGCTATATCACTAACCAGAGAACACATAGACTAGACAACTAGTGGAAAGCTTTTTGCACGCTTTTTTTGAGGCTTCAGAACCCCTGACAGCTTTGGACTCGCTCGGCTCCTTACTTTTAGGCTCGAGCTACGAAAAAATACGAACGCACAATCATTTCGCTTCATGCGCTCGACCGAGATGGTCAACTTTTGAACAAAAGATCCCTCTATGCTCAATGTTCCCTTGCTCTCTCTCTCTCTCGATGCTCTCTGCTCTCTCGAATGTGTATATGTATGTATGCATGTGAGCACAAGCAGCAGCTCACGAAAATTGAAATTTCTTCGCAGCAAGAACCCATGCCTTCCCTTCTGAGTGAAGTGTATTCCAAACTCTTCAAGCCGTTTGCCATGCGTTTGCGTTATTATTTGTGGGAAGAGTATGAAAGCGTTGGTGCGCATAATGAAAATGTTTTCGCGACGAGCATGCACACACACACGTACAGTATGCTACATGTACTATGAGCATTTGTATGCCTGTGTGCAAAGCCCTTGCTGGCTATAGTAATTTGAAATCCTAGCATTTGCATTTGGTCGATCTTGTGAAGTGCTCACACTTACATAAATATGTTTGATTGTGTGTACGCAGGGGCCGCGATGCTCACAAATGATGGGGTTATCATTGTAGAAGCAGCTCAGTGCCTTTATATGTATGTGCGTGTGTGTATGTTTATAAGTATATGCATGCGACATGAGCATTGACGTGTGCCTACGACAACTTAGAATTGTGCGAACGATTTTGGGTTTGACCGGAAGAGGCGCGCTTATAAGTTGTCAGGGGTTCTGAAGCCTCAAAAAAGCGTTGCAAAAAGCTTTCCACTAGTTGTCTAGTCTATGTGTTCTCTGGTTAGTGGCTATATGTTATAGCTTGTCGGTATTGTTTTTTAATAGGCACTTCGGTACCATCCCAACGTCTTTTTTCCATGGTGGGTGCCACATTAACCCAAAAAAGGAACAGGTTAACAACAGAGCACCTTTCACAACTACTATTTCTTAACTCAATTTTAAATAAATAAACATTTATATTCTTTACTGTTCTTGTTGCTATTGTTGCTTCTAAAAGGAGTTCATAAAAAAATAAATTAAACGCATTCAAAAAAATCATTAGATTAATCGATTTTTTTTCCATTTTTCCGCGATTAAATGCAATTAATCTTTAAAGCACCTAAAATAAATCATATGATTAAATAATCGAACAATGATTTTTTTTCACTACATCAAACATCAATGTTTCTCCAGTACTAGATTTTCGCGCAACAAAATTTGTGTATAAATTAGTGATGAAATAAGCATCGATGCATCCAGCATCGATGATTTATTACAAATGTTTACCGATGTTTTCGCTGATACCGATGTTTAATGATGCATCGATGTTTTGCAAAACATCGCAACCTTTTTCTTTTTGAAAGGGTGAAAAGTACCTACCCTAATTTATTCAAAATTGCAATGACATTTTTTCTGTTGATTGTATCTTCTGCTCCTTATAAAATAGTATGTAATTCAGTATAATTTTTTGAAATGTATAAGACTGCTATGAAAGCATAAGATATCTCTCCTATGTTAAAAATTTGAAAGTTAGATCTTATGCAAAGTACTGCTATGAAAGCTCATTTGTATTTTTATAACCTGAACCCATTTTCAATGGGAAATCAGGGTATAATGGTTTTGTTGAAATGTATGTAACAGGCAGAAGGAAGCGTGGCAGACCCCACAAAGTATATATATTCTTGATCAGGGCGACGAGCTGAGTTTATTTGGCCCTGTCCGTCTGTCCGTATGTTTGAACGCGTCGATTTCCGAAGATATAAGAGCTAGAGACTTCAAATTTTTTTAAAAATGTTCGTAATGACAGCGCGGATATCGAGTCTATCATTAAAAATCGATAACTCATCCCGATCTTTTTTTTTTATCGATAAAACACCGTATCTTCTACACCATTATTGCTAGTCTCCAAATTTTTAATGTATGCTTATATGCAATTTATATAATTTAGATTTTTGTTAAAATTTACCCTCCGCCCCTATATTCACCCCCTCACCATCACTTTTGTAAAAGGCGTATTTCAAATACTAGAGACTTGTGCTTTGGCGAATACATGCATATCCATGTTATAATCATAATCTGAAAGTTTCATGATCGTATGTCCACAAAAAAAGTTATCAATCAATTGAGTTCTCATAGTAAGCGCACACTGCAGCCCATGCGTGTTTATGCTTGTGTGTGTGTATGTGTGTGTAAATGTTTATGTGTATGTGTGTGTGTGTGTATGTGTGTGTATGTATATATGTATGCCTGTGCGTGCGTGTGTGTGTGTGTGTGCGTGTTTCTTGTGTAAGCTGAAGGACGCGAAAAATTATTGAAATAGCTATTACTCCAAGGGTTCAGGGGATCTCGTAGTCGGGCTTCTCGACTAGAGCTTTCTTACTTGTTTATTTTTATTTTTGTTAAATAATGTTGAATACTTTTAAGTTTTGTTTTATTTTTAAATAATAAAAATACCATGAGAGCACCAGTAAATAAGTAAAAATATGAAAAAAAAAAATACATCGATGCATCGAATATTCAATCCGATGTATTAATCCAACATCGATGCTTGATTTTGAAAACATTGATGGACATCGACATCGATGCTTTCATTCAACTTTACATCACTAGTATAAATAAGTTGTATGGTTAGTGGTGGTACTGATATTATTCTTCTAGTGTTAATGACAATCGATAAAAACGCAAAAAGATAATATTGGATATATCGATAATGATATCGAAAGCTCAAGTCAAAAGTGTAATTAAGTTGCTTACAATTTATGCGCTGCAAAGTAACGAAGTTTAAATCGTACAAACTAAGTAGTTAGAACTCTGTTTCCTTCGAATATATTTTTTTAATTATATTGTCGAAAAAGTAGACTAACCAGTTGCTTTAAATGTATAACATGGAAATTACTTTGGCACTATTGAAACCGCATATTGTACGTAACACATATGCGGTACACCAGCTAAAAGCCCAAATGGAAAGCAATTTTAATATCTTAGCAGCTAAGGATTTGCGTGTTACTAAGGAGCTATCAGAGTGTTTTTACGTGGAACACAAAGACAAATTTTTTTATTATCGTTTAACTAGTTTCATGCAAAGGTATAGTAATTCCATTGAAATCAATATATTTTTACAGATTTTCGTTTTAGCGGTTTCTGCTCCGCTTTTATACTACAATCTGAGTCATGTATACAAAAATGGCGTCAGCTTATGGGCCCCACCAAAGTGTTTAAAGCGGTGTATACCGATCCCAACTGCATACGGGCGCTTTACGGTCTATCAGACACTCGCAATGCCTGTCATGGATCAGATAGCACAGTTTCGGCGCTGCGAGAGATTGGCATAATATTTCCAGAATTCGATATAAGCAGTGTCAATAATCAATCCAAAGTAATAAATAAATGTGTACATATCAAGAAAGCATAACAAAGTTGTTAATATGTACTTTATGTAGTCTGTAACAAATTATAACACAGTCAATATTTAAATATATAATAAATTAAAAAAAATGCGTGAATCTGTCTGAAATAGCTCTTTTTATGTATCCATCTGAAAAAATTGAATTTAGAATTAAAATGTGAAACAAATGATTTTACCACCTTTTTTAAACATGTATGTATATCAAATGAATCTAATTTCAAAATTTCATCAGATTGATGCATTTTTAAAGTTTTTACAGGCATTTTAACGTCGAATTGGCCAACATGTATCCAACATGCTTCTACGTACATAACATTGACATGTACACGTACATATACATATGTACATATGTAAATATTGATTCTCATGCACATGTACATGGACTTAAATATAAACCTTATTTTTATTTACTTAAAACCCGTATTTTTATCATTTTATGCTACATCATATCACTAACCAGAGAACACATAGACCGGACAAGTAGTGTAAAGCGTTTTGCACACTTTTTTTCGGGAGTTATCTCCCAGACACTTCGTATTTGCTCGGCTCCTCACTTTTTGGGTTCGGGCTACGAAAAAATACGAAAGCACAATCATTTCGCTTCATGCCGCATGAATCATGCGCTCGACCGAGATGGTCGATTGTTGAACAAAAGATCCCTCTGCGCTGAATGTTTCCCTTGCTCTCTCTCTCTCACGATGCTCTCTGCTCTCTCAAATATGTATATGTATGTATGCATGTGAGCACAAGCAGCGCTCACAAAAATTGAAATTTCTTCGCAGCGAGAACCCATGCCTTAACTTCTGTGTGAAGAGTATACCGAACTTTTCAAACCGTTTGCCATGCGTTTTCGTTATTATTTGTGGGAAGGGTATGAAAGCGTTGGTGCGCATAATGAAAATGTTTTCGCGACGAGCATGCACACACACACTTACAGTATGCTATATGTACTATGAGCATTTGTATGCCTGTGTGCGAAGCTCTTGCTGCCTATAGCAATTTTAAATCCCAGCATGGGAAGCGCTGCTCACAATTATGGGATATAACTTGTGGAAACATTTGTATGCCTCTGTGCCTTTACATGTGCGGGTCTGTATATCTTTGTTTGTATGTTTGGGAGATGAACATTGGCGTGTGCCTACCTCAACTTTTAATGGTGTGAACGATTTTGGGTTTTAATTGAAGAGGCGCTTTTATTTAAATAGCTGACTATCTAAAGCTGACTAAGTTATTTTACTTGCATACACCTGTATATGTATGTACATATATGAACGGGTGCTAGGGATCGAAAATCGCATCCCATTTTGCCCACTGAGTTTAATCAGGTATTACATTTCTTTAAAAATGCATTCTGATAGGCAAAACCACAATCATTGACATGAAATCAGGTGCTTAACCCTTTATATGGCCGTGTTGCATATCTGCAACATACCCTTTAAAATGTATTTTTTCGCAATGCAAATCGAAAAAATCGAATTTTGCTTTTGGTTGTACATCTGAAACATACGCATTTTATATATTATTTGCTTTGGGCACTCTTCTAGATGTTTTGAAAAACATATGTTCACTTTCCCACCAATTTTGTGAGAAGCAAATGTTGTGTGGGGTGATAAGATTAAAAATATAGATATTTCTTTACGAAAAACTTAAGAAAAACAAAGGTAAATATGTTTCAAATGCGTGGGTTATCAAGTTTTCATGTTGTGTATTGTGTGTAGATTCGAAAAATCGGTATGTTGCAGATATACATCAAACAACTATTCGAAGTTATATTGTGCAGAATTTATTTTGTTGTATATATGCAACATAGAGTATTTCTGTTTATATTATATGTTTTTATGTGTTTATACATATGGTTATATGTTGTTATGTGTCATAGAACTTGTCTTGGGTCTGTTGTATGTGTTTTTTGAGACTACATATATACAAATAGCACTTCTTACGCAGGAAATATGACAAGAAAAGGTTTAACACCTTCACAGGTTGAAAATTATTTCAACAGTTTAGATAGCGAGGATGAACTTGACTTTTCTGCTGATGAGGATAGCGATTTTTATCCAGATGAGAAAGAAGCAAGAAGTACAGATGAAGATGACATCGATGACCAAAATCCACCGAGTAATGCCTTAGACGTTTCAAACTCAAACCTCATGAATGATTCTGAACCAAATGTTACCAGTAATGACCCTGATCTGAAAAGAAAGTTGCTATGGAGACAACGCAGTTTAATTTTGAAAGAAAATCAACTGCAGTTTCTCGGGAGTACTATGTTGCATCCGGAACTAATGGAACTATCTATGAAATTACAATCGAAACAAATCTTTATATTCGGCAAAAAGACCTTAACGCAAATTTCAATTTTACGTCCTTAGATATCCGACAGTTTGTTGGAATAAAATTATGCATGTCAATTTCGCGTCTTCCAATAATTACTCAATATTGGTCAACAATAATTGGAGTGCCAGCGATACAGAATATTATGTCGCAAAAAACATTTGAGATGATTAGGCGTCACATTCACTTTAACAACAATGACAATGCCCTGCCATTGTCACACTTCTGTCATGATCGGTTATTCAAAATCAGGCCAATAATAGATGAACTAAACAAAAATTATAAAAAATAAAAGGAGCAGACGTTGGCAAGTCCGGGTTTTTTAATCACCTGCTGGACTTGACAGTCAGCAACGCTTGGTTGTTTTATAAACGAGTGCAAAAAGAAAATGCATCGACAAAAAAACTTTTAAGCTTATCAGAGTTTCGGCTAGACATCGCTGAAGTTTTGAGAAAAGTAGACACAAAATCTAAAACTGGAAAGCGAAGTTATTCTGTTGAAAATGAATTGCAGAAAAAAAAGCAGAGTGGTCCAACTCAACACGTATCAAATCAAATGGTGCGTCAAGATCAGGTTGGGCATTGGGCAACGTGGACTGATAACAGAAACAGATGCAAATATCCAAACTGAACTGGTTTTTCACAGATAATGTGCGAAAAATGTGGCGCAGCACTCTGCTTTAACAAAAGAAATAATTGTTTCAAAAATTTTCATTTACATTAAAATAACTCCACTTTTTTACTTAAATGTGTTATATAATTAATTAATAATATTATTAAACTAACTTTGAAAAATACTTGGTTTTACTTCTTACAATACACTATGAAATACTTCAATTATTTTCACCACAAGCCTATCTGTTGCATATATGCAACAATCCGTTTATCCTTAAATAAATGTCTATAAAAGTAAAATTAAAAAAAAAAAGAAAAAAAAGTTGAAATTTTTATTTTTATTTTTTTATTTAATAAAAGAAACCGCGTCAAAATCGGACGTGGTGCCATATAAAGCTTAAAGATAAGCGCGAGTTCCCCGCCAGTCAGTATACCACACACATACATACATATGTGTATGTGTATGAGTTACTCGCCGGCATAATAGTTTGGGGCTGGTTTTCATGGCAAGGTGTTGAATTGCACCATCGGATTGACGGCATAATGGACAGATTCCTGTAAAAGGAAATATTGAGTAGTGTTATGCTACCATATGCCGACGACAACATGCCTTTAAAATGGAAATTCCAACAGGATAAAGATCCTAAATAGGGCTCCCCAGTAGTTAAGGATTGGTTTCATGCAAATAGAATTGACGTTATTGAGTGTCCAAGTGAGTCTCCAGATCTCAATCCATTGGAGAACCTTTGTGGACGCCTGAAAAGGGAAATTTCCAAGACTAGCTGCTTCAATGAGATCCCAATTATTGGAAAATACTCAAAAGGAATGGAGCACCATTTCTGTGGAAATGTGTAGAGATTTAATGTCCTCTTTGCCCCGAAGGATTGGCAAAATCTTTGCGAATATAAGCGGACATACAAGGTATTACCCACATTCATCTAAATATATTCTAAAAATTTCATGATATTTCGGAAAATTTAATTTTTATACTCATTCACGAACGTGAATTAGTATATTGGTTTTGTGAAATGTCCGTCCGTCTGTCCCGCCCACTATGGGCGTGGCTAATAAAAAAAATGCATTTTCCGATATGCCAGAAATCATGTTACTTGAAAAGCTAGAAAGCTGAAATTTGGTATGTAGGTCCCCGTTGACCACCCTAAATCACGAGCTATGGCGGATATATCTCCGCCCATTGAGGGCGTGGCAAATCGGATAAAACTGTACCTCCAAGAGTTTTACAGCTAGAGCTCTGAAATTTTGCGCGTCAGCTAATGTTATGATTCTATAAAGTCTAAAGACAAAATTATATGTCTTCGCCCATTAGTGGCGTGGCAAATCGGACCTGAAGATATAGTGATTTTGAGAATTCAGCTATATTTTGGACACTATTGATGCCATAGACCTCAAATTTTGTATATATACTCGAGCTGATACCCAAGACCAAAAAGTTTTGTCGGATATATGTCCGCCCACAGGGGGCGTGGCAAACCGCAAAAGTTTATATCTCCTAAAGTATAATAGCTAGAAGCTTCAAATTTGGATAGTTGAGTTATTGGTAGCCTCCTCTATCGATTCCCCAAAAAAATAATTTTTACCCCTCCTTAGAGGCGTAGCATATCGAAAAATATCCTGTAATTTTCACTATTTTTTTGAGAGTAAGCATTCAAACTTTGCAGTTAGGGTACCTTTATCACGTTCTAAAAACTGACCAAAAATGAGGCTTCTACGCCCAGTTTTTTTTTAATTCTGTAAGGCACACCTATTAATCTGGCCAGCCAAATTTTGAATATTTTGTGAAGTATGCAAAATTCTGTAAAACATTATTTTATATATATTTTTTAAACTTTTTTCGAATACAAGTTGAATTTTTAAGTTACATGAAAAATATGGACGTTATTACCATTAAAAAAAAGAAAACAAGTAAGAAAGCTCCAGTCGAGACTGCTTGACTACGAGATCCCCTGAACCCTTCGAGCAATTGATATTTCAATAATTTTTCGCGTCTTTCAGCTTACACAAAAAACACACACACACACACACACACACACACACACACACACACACACACACACACACACGCACGCACGCACACACATGCATACACACACACACACACACGCACACACACACACACACACACTCTCCGATGATGCGGCG